TGTCGCCAGCCAGCCACTCGCTTCGTATCGGCCGCACGTTTGTTTTTGGAAAGTCTGTATTTTCATACTTTATTTCTTCTTGCCTTCCTTGTTTCAGTCGCTAATCGAGCTCTTCGTGAACAGACTGGACTCGGTTGAATCGGTTCTGCCATACGAGTATGATGCGTAAGTACGTTCCACATTGCAACAGGCTTCTGGAAGTGTTGGGAAAGCCCGTTTTCTGTTCTCGATGCACTGGTGCAACTCCTGATACAGTACACGTGTTTCTTGTAAGCAGTGATTGGGACGTAGGGGTAGAAGAGTAAATCCAGAGCTCAGGGGCAGGAATGAAGAGGATACAGGCCACACCTCTGCCTCCTGACCATCTGCTGTTCATGTTAATGACAAGGCTACTGGCTTTCTAATGGGGGCTTTTTTTTTTTTTTGAGCTGAGTGCTGGATTTGAAGGTTCTTCCTGTTAGTCAAATCTAGGAAGACAGGAGCTTTGTGTTCCTTGTTTCTGGCAGCTAAAAGACATTGGAAGAAGAGTCATTATTTTTCCTTTTTATACCAAAGCTCTGTATCTAATTCTTGGGGAGTGGTCATGATTTTATTTATTTATTCTTATTCTTGTCTGTGAAAATTATTAGCTGTTTTTGCAGATATTTACAGGCCTACAAGGCACACAATATGACCTGCAGTCTTGCTCTTGGACATACAGAAAAGTGAAACTTGCAGAGGGTTATAGGTCTTACACTGTGCAGTGCCATAATAGCAGCAAGACCAGAGACTAGCTGGAAAAGCTCTCAATGTCCCTATTTGCATTAAACTTTACAGAAACAAATGAATATGGGGGCACTTGTTGAGGAAAAGTACATATTCACCAAAGAGATTGTTGTTGTTGTTGTTCAGAATCTGCTGCTATCCATGTTTAAATAATGAAGATCCAGAATGGTTACATTCTCTTTGCTATATTCAGCAGTTTCAGACTGTAGGTACTTAAAAAGAATTGGTGGATGACATTTGGTAGTGTGGTGCATTATATTGAAAGCACTTCCCTTCTCTGGAACATGTTTCATGTTAAATAGTATTTGGAAAGACTCCTTTAAGAAAGGGGTATAGTTGTTTTTCTGAAACTTATTTTCAAGAGAAATGGGCAGTCCATATCATAGTCTGTTTTTCCTATTATGAAACATTCTATTTTTTGCTTAGATTGCCATTTGAAAAGGGTAAAGGGTTTGTAAAGCACTGGAACAGACTGCTGAGGAAGGTAGTGGAGTCACCATCCTGGGATGGATTTAAAAGACATGCAGATGTGGCACTGAGAGTCATGGTTTAGTGGTGACCTGGCAACACTGGGTTAAAGGTTTGGACTTGATAATCTTGAAGATCCCTTCCAACCTAAATGGTTCTGTAATTCTTGTAAAGGCACTCACAATTTTTTCTAACAGTGGTTGACCTGCCAAAAGAAGCAGGAAAACTTCCACGTTAAGGACGTAACTTAAGGAATTGGTTTAGGCTGATATTTATGGTTCTGTCAGTTAAAAAAATAAAGGTAACGTTTTCTACTTTTTTTCCAGTTTTGACTTCTGTCAAGATACGGAAGAGAAAAGACCATCAGAAAATCTGGGACAAGTGCTGTTTGGGGAGAGAATAGCATCTTCTCCATATAAGGTTATTTTATTCCTTGAAGTTAATCCTGTTTGAATTTGCTAACTGTCATTCTGGTGGCTGTAATCCATAGATATAGCTGAAGATTTGATGATGATGTGATTTTTTTTTTTTTTATATATATAGCCTTTGTAGTGTTTATGTAATAGAAAGAAAACCCCTCCCATACCCTACCCCCATAGGGTGGCTGATTAAATTTAGGAATCCAAGCCAATAATCACTCACCTTTCCTGGTTTTTTTTTTAGCAGCTGGATCGATGATGTATTAGCTGATGTGAAATCATTAAGTTTTTAAGTGTAATGTTAGAGGCTATAAACTGGTTGTTCAAGAACTCTTTCGTGTTCTTGGTTGTATTATTGGGCAACTTCCAGGGGGAAGGGAAGTCAGGTTGGGGCTCACTTCCAGCTTTTTTATGTACACACTTAACATTCGTTGTCTAAAAATCCAAATTTTTCATTGTTGATGAGTGTCACTTGAAATCTTCTGTAAGGTAAATGTATGGAAGTATTTTGTAGATTAGGTATATAATATTTTTCTGTCTTGTGCCCTGCATTAGCAGTGCCCAAATGTAGCATCTCTGAAAAGCTGTACAATCAACTTGGGAAAATCATTAGTAACCATTAAAATAAATCATAAATAATGAACATATAAATATTAATTAAAATAAATCATAAATCAATAAAATCATTAGCAGTAAAAGGAGATATGATTGAACACTGCCTCTTAATGCTTGAAAGCTCTAGACTGTTCAAGTGCAGTTTCCAGACTGGGATTTGCTGGTGAACCTGAAAACTGGGCTATGTTTGCATGTGAGAGTTGCTTGATAATCCAAATCCCTGTGAGAAAGAGGCAGCAGAGTTTCTGAGGCTATTGCTGCTTGATCATTAGGGACCTAATCACATCTTTTCATAGGACTGTTAAGGAGGTGATGCCTCCTCACTTGTGTAAACTGCTCCTAGAAGTCTCTTTGTCTTTCTGAGCTAATGTAGTTTTAAGTCTTGTGACTGCTGGCCATAGGAATCTTTTAAAAATGTAGCATGATGCCTCATTTGGACTGGATACTCATTGAATAGATTAAGTATTATAATAATTACTGTTTGTAATAACAATTACAATTATGGCTGCACACTAATTAGAAAATACTGTTACTGGTTAGCAGTTAGGCCTTGATAATGTTAGAATTTTCGGTCATATTTTAAGCATGTTAGCTCACCAACAGGGAAATCCTAACTGGGTTAGAGTAGAAGTTTTGATACACAAGTGTGAGCAGATTTGTGTTAGGTCGTGTCTGCACTTGAAGCTTAGATGTTGTGCAACATATTAGAGTTTTGGCAGCCTTATCTTATATCTTAGTCATCCTGGGGAAACAGCTAAAATTAGCATGAAACATTCAAAGAGGGTGTAGCTAAAAGTCTGGTTTAGCAGATGATGTAATTACCAAAACAAACAACAACAAAAAAGTGAAAGAAGGAAGCAATACCTTTTCTACCAGTTTTCAGATTTCATTCCTCAAGGTGGTTTATCGGGGCTGTTGAAGAGATTTTTAGCAATGTGGAAGAGGATTGCTGGTGTCTTCAGCTTTACCTGAAAAAAAGACCAAAAGATTTTTGAAGCAAAACTGAAATGACTCCTTTTGTGTGCTTTCTTAACAGTTCACTTTTAAAAAGCAAGAAACATGCAAGAAGGTTTGCACAAGATCATATGACCCAGGAAACAGTGCCGATAAAAGCAAACTGGCTTTTTTGAAGAAAGGAATGCAGCTGAATTATCAGCATCACTGGTAAGCTGAGATGTGTGCTTGAGGCTGGGGAGTATTTGGCTGCTTTTTTTTCCGTTGTTATCTAGGTTCTAAGTGGTTGCTTGCTTCCTTCTGTGTGATAGTTGTCCTCCACTGTGTATCTTGTGGGCACTACTGGAAACTGTGTGCACTGTATAAATGTTAAATGTCGATGTGCAATAAGGTGCATCCCCTTCTGAGGACATGTTTTTTGATGATTTCTGTCTAGGATTATCGATAACATGCCTGTAACGTGGTGCTATGATGTGGAAGATGGACAAAAATACTGTAATCCAGGATTTCCAATAGGATGTTTTGTTACTCCAGATGGTAGAGTTAAAGATGCTTGTGTTATAAATGTAAGTGGCAAAATTTTTTGTGGTAGTGTAGCAGATGTAATTTCATTTGCAGTTCTATTTTTAAGCTTTCTTCTCCTGTGAAAGAACTGATACCTTTGTAAACATTGTTAATATTCAGAATGTGGGCTTCATGTGACAAAAGGTGAATGTTGCTTCATTATGCAGTGTCTCACTGATAACATTGTCCAAGAAAAAACAAATGTTCATATAGATCTTTTGACTGACACAGATAAAGCTGTAAGGCAGCTGTATTGGTGTCTAAAAGCCTTAGAAAATTGAGGTTTTGTTCTGAAATTTCACGTGTATCCATCTTTGTACTATTCATTCTTTGTCCGTGTTGTATTCATGTGCAAGACCTTCTGCTTTTGGAGAAGCTTTCTAGTGAAGACCTAGAAACAAGCCCTGTGTTCTAGTTGCACAAGTTATGTCTAGCACAGTTTACAAGTTAAATATGTCAGTTTTCCCAGCTGGCTGGAAGATAACAAACATAGCTGTGATAGGGAAAGGATTATATTGACAACAATTTGAAATGTGTCGCTCGCCCTGGGAGTTCCACAGTGAACTAGTACAGTTACAGATAATAGTGATGCAGTTCTATCCCTCCTGGGATGAGGGGCCACGCTCCTCTCAGTGAGGAGAGAGGTCTGTGCTATGACTCTGTTCTGCCACATGATTTTACTGCCTGTATGCAGTGCAGCTCCAGTGCTTTGTGAAAGGGATGCATCTGTCAGGCACAATCAGTTACTCTTGTCTCCCGTCACCTTGCAATGCATGTAGTGCTTAGGCTCCCTGACTAGAGTTTAGACTATTAAAAATGGTCTGTGAACTGAATAACCTGTTCCAGTTAGCTGTTCAACTTTATTACTTTTAGGTGAGGTTGTTTTTATGTAAAATTGGTACTGGTGTATGTTGTGTTGGAAACTACTTGGTACACAGAAAAGGTCTGTAGCAAAGCCAGCAACTTGGATGAACAGTTGGTTTTGGTGGGGTTTTTTTTGTTTGTTTTAGGGGGAACCTTTCATACATAGGCATCAATGGTTGAATTTTCCAGTGAGTGCTTGGGGAGCTTGTGCTGTGTATCCCTGAAGAGCTGTGCAAGTCCTGTGTGCCAGCTGTGGTGTGGGGGCTCTGCCTGGCTAGCTGTTGTAGCCAGGGTCAGTTTTAGTCTGAATTCTGGTGAGACTTGCTCAGCATAGTGCTGAAGGGGGGTGATTGTTACAGGGGCAAATAAAATGTAGCACTGTGGACATGACTATAACCTCTGGGCTGAGCTGAGGAATATCACCCACTTTTAAAGAGATAATTATGTCTGCTGGAATAAGTATTTGACTATACTTCTAGAAACGAGGCAGGGAAGGGGTTGTCATGCAATGACACAGCTACAGTTCCTCCTTGAATTCATGCAGCTGGTGAGCTATTTTATCACTTCAGCTGCTACTTTGGAAATGGAGGAAACTGGTACCTAGAGATGGTGTTATAATATGACACAGGTATGATTCTAGTTTTCTCCTGATGGGAATCTTGATCCTAGTGAAAGAAGAGCAACACAAATAAATGTAATGCAAGACACCTTCATATTTTACTGAGAGGGGGCAAGGGATAGAAGTTGTATGGCAATTAGGAATTGGCTTACATACACAAAATAACTTTTTATTGAGAAACTGACCTAGCAGTCTGTCAGTCTAGTCCCTTACTTCAAATTAAAGTTTTCTAAACAACATGTTGGGGAGAAAAGAAAATACAAGTCTATTGACTATGGTATCATCTGAGCTTTGTATAGTTCTCCATCATTCCAAATTCTGAAAGGGTAAGGATGACAAAGCAGAGTAGCTACTGAAGGTGAAGGTTAAGGTTTTTGAAGCAGAACCTGGTTTGTAAGCTCTGGCAGCTGGAGTGTCTACTAGGAAGACTGTAGGATGGGGGTAGAAATGATGACTCTTATTTACTTGCACCTTGACTAAATAAATCTTTGAACTTGTTTTGGCAGCTTTTTTTGTGGTAAATACAAAAATTCTGGCAAATACATTTACATTTTACAAGTCACACAGGTGTGATAATAAATTATATGCTTTTGTGTTTATAAATGCAGTGTTGTATATAGAGAAAAATAGAAATACTTTATACAGGGAAATTTTAAAAAGTGAATGTTAATGTTAATGTATTCCCCTTTTTTCTTGCTCCTTCATTGGACAGTAGTCTCAGTTTAAAGTTCTTGATTGCTTGCGCCCTCTCCTGTTGAAGTTACTCAATCTCTTGATGATATTTTGTAGTCAGAGTTTAACAAGAAGAACACTTTCTACCTCTTCAACCACGTTGACATAACAATCATGTACCACAGTGGGAAGGATGAAAACTGGCCTGGTGCAAGACTGGTGATGGCAAGGCTGAGACCACAAAGGTAATTGTGAGTTAAAGTAGCAGGTTCTAGTACTGGAGAGTCCATTTAATACTAGTTGCCAACTTAGAAATGATACTTTCTGTCAGTAAGTTCTGAGGAACTGGTTATTCTTACTTTGGATCAAGGTTTCAGTGTGCTGGTTCTGGCTGGAACCGTGTTTACAGAGAGCAGTTCTATGGCTGTAAATGTCGTTTAACTTTGCTTTTAAAATATTCCCCAAAGTCTCTCCTGATAGAAAAAAAAACCTGTGTATGCAGACTCTTAGAACCTGAGACAAATGATAGCTTTCTTATAGTTTTATTGGTTTGCATTTGAGTGCATGCTACTTTCTTTTAAAAGATATGTTTTCAGATACACTGAGACATGTCCTTCAGCTGAGTGGCAGTTCCCATGTCGTCTCTCTTACTGTTGCTGCATTGCCTCCCAAATGTCCTTTGTAAGAATGTGCAGTATTTGTACAGGTGTACTTCCTCCTGTGTTAATTTGGATGCTGAGGTATAAGTGAACTATCAAGTTAATACTGGTATTCAGAACAGCAGAAAAAGACTAATTTCCTAAGAAGGTTAATTTACTTTCTTAAACAATAGCTTCTTAGTTTCTGTGTTGACCAGAGAGGAGATATGACAGTACAGAGGTCAGAAACAGACTGACTTGATGACTTTGTCCTCTCCTCAGTCTGTTTGTGCACAGTTCCTTCTTACCTATATTTGAAAACTGCAGCCAGTTATACAGTTTCAAAGCAGGTTGCCTTTTTTTTTTTTTTTAGCTAAACACTCCCCTTTTTCTACAGAGATTCAGTAGAGTCCTAAATTACACTACCACAGTTTTTCAAGTCATGTATGGTACAACATAACGTGGGTCATATTCTTTTTGTTGTTGCAATGATATAGTGTGGTTTTAGTGAATTATAATTGCAATGGAAGTTTATCCATTCCATTTACATCTGCTTTGAGATGGTGGCAGGAAGATTCTACCAACCTTCTCTCCGTTTTTGATTAATGCTTTATCAGCTGCATCCTGAATGGTTGAGGACGGAGACTTGGTCTTCTCCCCGCTGGTGCAGACCACAAGGGGGCACGGTTGGGTTGCACATAGCCCCTGTTTCCTCATTCTCTGACCGGGAGTGTCACTTGCTGCTCTGCTTCAACCTTGAAGCTCTTCTGAGGGGGAGTATTTGTGGTTGCAGCACCCTGGGCCTTTCATTGAGGTTTTTCATTATCTCATGGCTTGGCTTAGTTGTTGGCATATAATCACATAAGGTAGAATTGTTTATCTAAACTGAGTAAATACAACTTGCCCAAGAAGGTGTGAGAAGGAAGCTATTTTCTCATGTTAGAGAAGGTTCACAGGAGTGAATTCAAGCAAACCTTAAGGTTTCTTTGACTTTGTGCTTCTATGGCTGCAGTACTGCTAAGGTACTGCAGAGAAGGATTTTCTGTATTTGGACTTCAAAATGTAGAATGTTGTTCTGAATTCTGTGCTTTTCAGAGTACATGAGATTGACAAGAGGTTAAATAAGACTATTTGCATAGGAATGGAAAATGGAGAGTGGTTCCCTTAGTAAGTTCTCCTGCCCCAGTGTAAAAACATAACAGTAATAAAAAAAGACAAGCAAAAATGCACCAAAATAAACACCCTTCTCCCTGTGAAACTTTAGAGAAGGTGAGAAAGTTTACCTAGAATGTTCTCAAATGCCTACAAGTCTGGACAGACATTAACTGTATGTAGGACAGTGATCCATGATCCCAATCCCTAGGATGCTTTCTGCAGAGTTTTTAGCTCTCACCACAAGTGCTCGTGAGAACTAGTGTTCAGTTCTGGTGTGGCTTTAAAGCTGTTACAGAAATTCTGAATAATGATATCTAATTATATACATAATTTTATTTTTCTCTTAAGAGCTCTATCTGCAAATATAACTTAATAAAAAATATATGTTTAGATCTTTGAACTTCATTGACGGAACAGAAAAGCAGGCTCTCAAAAAAGTTGAATAGCTGATACAAAATTGCATACACAGCTCTACTTGTTTTTTATTTGCCTTTTTTTAATAAAAGCTTGTTTTAATTATCTTAGAAAAGAATTTGTGAAAATTGATCTGGTAGAGTACATGAGTACATTCAATTTAACTTTTTTTTTTTCCATCTTAGCTACAAACATACAGATGAGAACAACTTAAGTTGCGAAGGTCCACCTATGGAGATTCCTGGAGAATTCACCAATAAACTGAATTTGATCTACACTTACTCTGTGACATTTGAGGTAAGTGTTGAGTCTGTTACATTAAAAGGTAATTCTCTAAAAGAGTGAAATCAAAACAACTGGATAATTGGCTAATAGCCATAACTGGATTAAAGGAGTGTAAATTCCATGAGGACGGTCTTGTGAAGAAGTTTTCCCAAAACCTGTTACTTTTCCATTACTCTAGTTTGTGACATAGAATTTATAAGTAAAGACTTTTTTTTGCCCTGTTTTATTAATAATAGAGAGGTAATAGATAGAATAACCACAGGAATTGTCTTTCTTGATGTATGCTCTATATTTTCACTGCTCAGTCAGGGTACTGAGAGTCTTATGTAGAACAAAAGTTTATATTGTATTTGGAGAGACTTTTGTTTTAAATGTTGGTTTTAGTATATTGTAAAGCTGTTGTTATCTAGTGAAGGTTTTGTCTCATTTTATATTGCTTCTATTCACTAGCTTTTTTTTTTTTTTGGGTAGGTGGCCATTTAAACACTCTAATGTAGTAAACACTCTAATGTTTACTAATAATAATTTATTCAGCCTATTGCAATTTATACAGGAGGAAATTAGGCTTTATTGCAGTTGGGTCTTTGCCCCAGCATGGCCAGTGAGCCTCCTGTGGGGGTGAGAATAATTTGATTGAAGCTACTTCAAACCTTGGTACCTTGCTAAGTCTGTCCTGAAAGCATGGTAGTACTTCTCATGTGAGACACCAATCGTAGAGAATTTGGCTTGAGAGCACCAGCCTCTTTTGTGTAGGCAGTCAGGCAGCCATTGTATGGTAACAGCTTTCATTCTACCAAACTGAATTTGATTTGAACCAATGACCTTTAGGTGCAGGGCTCCAAATCTTGTTACATTTCTCTTGAGATGCCCAAGCCTCCTTAGACTCTCTGAATTCAGTACATGAATGAGCCTCCTGTCTATTAACATTTGTGTTTAAATCTTGATGATAAATTACAGTTTAGAATTGACTTTGTCCAGTTATTCATGGAAGGTGTTAACATGTTTGGGCTCCCTGCTCCCTGTTTCTGGGGTGCAGAGCAGACAAGGGGAAGCTGCTATGGGTTTGGGCAATTCCACCAAATGGTGCTTGACATGACTCCATCACCAGGCACTGCAGAACTGCTCATCTTCCCTGTTAGTCTTGAATTGAAATTTAAAAGTTCCAGGCTGGAGATACAGTCTAAAGTTTGAGAATTAATTGCGCAAACTTATCACCTGGTGAATAAGGGAGTTAATCAGAACTTTGTGCCAGTCAGGAGGTAGAATTTGGTAGCAGGACAGCAACTGTACATCCCACAAGACAAGCTGTAGAGGGCAAGGCGTGGGGATGAGAAAGTGTCATTGCTTGTACAGCTCACGTGAAGCATTTAGAGGGGGACATAGAAGAGAATGAAAGCCTCTTGAAGCTGAAAATTACTGAGTGATTTCTTCTTAAATCCTTCATAGGGCTATCTGGAGATGAACGTTGTCCGCCAGGATTCAGTGGAAAATAGTCTGTGTCAGACAGCATTATGGCAGGAAGCAAGGAAGCCTGTGCTTCACATTAAACATGATGAGAGAGGAAAATTCCAAGGGAAACAAAAAACTTATTCACAGTGTATGTTTAACACAATTTAAGTTTCAAGATCAGTGTGCTGCACTGGGAGTATCTCGTAGTGACGGCGTGGCTGTTTTTCAGCATGCAGTTGGGAGCTGCAGGCAGCTACATGCCAAGTCATGGAAAGGTGAGGCTCAGTGAAGCATCAGTTGAAGGTAGAAGACATGGATAGGAGATTTCAGTAAACAAGAGGCTCAGAGGATGAATTAATGCAGGAGGGAGATCTAACATCTAGCGTGCAGGGTTGATACTGAGCTTCGGTATTAATGCTAAGTGGAAGGTGTGAGGAAGGCGTTTGATGTACTTACTCCTCCTCGGAAACGGCAACAAACTTGGACTTGTTTCTAGTAATTGCTATTTAATTTCTTTATAGGAAAAGAATAATATTAAGTGGGCTTCCAGATGGGACTACATTTTGGAGTCCATGCCACATACAAACATCCAGTGGTTTAGGTAAGACTTGGATTTATTCACCGAATAACCTTGCAGAGGAGCACAAAGATTTCTTATTTGTGCTTCTAGGAATATATAACTTCTGCTGTGGTAGAACAAAGTTGGTTAGTTTTCAGGCAAAAGAATTTTCTTGGTTTTATATATGAAGTAACTTTTATCAGTCTTCCATCTCATGGGAGCAACTGTAGTATTGCATTTCAGCAAAGGAATGCACCGTGCGTGTCCAAAGGGAAAGCAGCTTCCATCGTCTTACTTTATCATCTCCATTCTGTAGAACTTTTGAGACATTGCTGCTCTGCAGTGTTCTTACTGTTATTGTCTGGCTTTCTCTAACTGCCAAGTGAGAGGTACATGTGTGCTGCATGTTTTGTACTCTACAGCTGCTTACAGTAAAATGAGGGTCTTTTTTATGAGTAAAAGATGTCTGTGAAGAGCTCTTACTTATTTCCCTCTGTACCATGGAAATGATATCAAGTAAGTATATAATTTATGTTGAAATGTTAATGTTGTGCAATATAAAGTGTTTGAAAAGGATGATCTAATTAAATATGTCTGTACAAAACATTGAGTGGCACGATGTAGCTTTCAGTGGTAGATTTAAAATCTACTTGACAAAATCGGCTTTAGGAGCTGTAGCTGTTACACTAGGGAAATTACTTGAACTATATAAGGAGGAAAATAAAAGCTGTATGTAACTGTCTTGAGAATTAACAATACCTCAAAATAGTATTCTTCTCCCTTCTGTCTCCTAAGAAATCATAAAGGTATGCAACTTAAAACAGATTATCTTCTCTGTGTGGGAAATACTAAAAGATTTGAGTGCTTAAGTTGGAATGTCTAAGGCTGTTTGTCAGAGCTGTACCTGTGGTATGATTTGGAGTATGTGGTCTGAAACATGAGAAAGTGAACTGAAAGTTTGACTTTATCTACAGTATCATGAATTCCCTCGTCATTGTTCTCTTCTTATCTGGCATGGTGGCTATGATCATTCTGAGGACTCTCCATAAAGACATTGCAAGATACAACCAGATTGACTCTTCTGTGAGTAAGATTTGCAGTTTTTACATGAACATGTTTTTCTGATGGTAGTGAAGTCTATCAATTAGTTTTTAATACAATCTAAAGAGGCCCATAACTACCAAGAATTTGATATAGGCTAACACAGCTGGGGGTAAAGAATAGCAGTAAAACTGTTTTGTCTTTTCTAACAGCAGGAAGAGATGGGCAGATGGACAGTCTTAATTTTATAGTGTCATTTGATGAACTTGTAGTATGAAAGGGCAGACTTCATGTTTTACAAGTATGTGGAGTGATTCACAGAAACTTTTTGATAGTGGACAAACTCATATTTGAAATATAAGTCCCTTTCTTTCAAGGTCTCAACTAAGGAAAGCCTCTTTTTGTAATAAATACTTTCACAGTATACCAACAGCCACAAGACACAGTGCAGACATTGAAAAGTGTTCTGCCATTGGTGCACTATCAAGATGTGGCCATTGCTCCTGAGTCCTATGGTTGCCCTTTAGAGTCAGTGTGGACATGTAGTTGGTGGTGTGACCCTGACCTAAGCAGGTAGTTTGTTATTTATGGAATCTCCATCCTTAGAGATACTCAAAAGCCATCTGGATGTGGTTCTGGCTAACCTTGCCTTAGGTGACCCTGCTTGAGCAGGGAGCTTGAAGAAGATGAGCTCCAGAGGTCCCTTCCAGCATCAGCCATGGAGTGATTCTGTGACTCTGGCAACCTGGGATTATATGCAAGATTCCTTCTCCATGCAGCCCTGCTTAAGTCATGTTACGTGGCCTTAGCACTAGACCTGCATTTTCATCTGTTGCAGCGACATTGTAGCACAGAAGGGAAGACTTTGCTACCTGCTTTGTCATATTTTCTGTCTAAAAACATATTTTATAGTCTGATCAGCTAAGCTTGTGAAGAGTATGGTGGTTGTTATTGAAAAGTATCTTTTTCTCTCTTCAGGAGATCATGCTTAAAACCACCCCAGCCAGTTATTGACCCTCATTGTAATGAAGCTGCTTTAGGAAGCTCAGTTGCTGTAGTTTTTTCAGTTCCAAGGTGGCATTTCTGTATAGTAGTCTGTAATACAGCTCATCCAGAAGGCAAGTGTGCTAGCATGTGACTTGTGAAGTTGGAAAGGTTGTGGTCTCAATTTCATGAAAAGTATGGTGCTATGTAACTTCATAAAGCAGCATATTTAAAAACTCCTATCAGGTGATTATTGCAGAAAGGATCAAAAATTAAACCAACAGCTAGCAATGGAGTGAGATTAGTAGGAGGATCAGTAGTTGCCTTGCTAATTGTTATGGGAGAGATCGATTAACAGACTAATACAAGTTGATGTTGCCTTTTGACTGTGGCTAGAGTGTGGTGGAATCACATACTTTGTCTCCAGTTAGGAGACTGTACTATTGCAGTTCATGTCCAACACATCCTATCTCTCCAGCTGTGTTAGAACCACTTGGTCTGCGTGTAAATTATATATATTTTAAATGTTATATATTTCTTAAAAATACAGTTCTCCTGGTGGTCGCTGTGTTAAAACTGAGGCTGTTTTGTCTGACTTAACATGGTGACTGAAGTTTGTTGCTATCCAACTAAACTTGTGAGTCCTTTTGAAATACTCCTTAAAATGGGAAAGGGGCAGGTGCTTGTAATGCCTTGCTGCCTTGGTGGGAGAGAATACAACTGCTGGTGAGTTAGAGAGACTGACTAGCTGACTGTGAGTGAAAGTTAATCTTTCCCATTGGTAAAAGTGGTACCTGCAAGCCAAAGATGAGAAGTAAGTGTCAGAGTCTTCAAGGGTTTGAATTTTCACGGTCATTGCTATCTGGATAAAGAAATACTTTAAAATGCACAGAAATGTTTCATATTGAAACGAAAACATCTGAAAGTACTTTTATTCTTCTTTGTGGTTTTGATATTAAATATCTTTTGTTAATGCAAATCCAGACGGTAATTAAAGTGGAAGAATTTTTCCACATCCTTTAACTGATTGTTTTTGTGAAGCTCCTGTTTGATCTCTCAATTAAATTATGTTCAGTATCTTACACTGTGTTGTCTTTATTAGTTGGTCATTCTTAATATGATAAAGAGCAAGGCTTGTCAAAGCTTGATGGGTTTTTATGGGTAACAGCAGGGATAGGTGTGACTTTTAAAAAACCACACTTTTTTTACTTCCTTGCCAGTTGTGAGAGACTTAAAGATCTATTGCAGTTCAAGGAGCTGATTTTAGAAGGTGTGAAATAATTGTGCAAAAGAGGACCTGGGCTGAGGAAGCTGCAGTGAAGCAAATTAGTATCTCACACTTCAGGAATATTTGTGATTCTCCTTCACAAGCCAGTGATTGTGGACTGTATGCACATTTAATGTTCAGTTAATACCAGCTGGCTTTTAGTGTGATGTAGATTTAGTGAGAGATACTTTAATCAAGTGTTTAGAAACCGTTAGATAACTTTTAGGCTCTCAGACTAAGAAAAGATTTCTGAACTGAACACTATCAATATCCATCACTATCAATAACCAGAAGGTGTCTTTTGAGTGCATTTGCAGATTAGGTGTTAATAGGAAATCTTAACACCAGACATTCCAGATTTGCACAACATTTTCCTTGTTCTGTCAGGAGCTGAAGTACTATGTGTTCATTGCTGCTTAGTGTTCACCGTTTTGAAAATAGATAAAGATTTGCCTCAGATACTAACCTTTTCAATTCCTTGATTCCTTACTTGCAAATTCCTGAGAAAAGTCTTTCTTTTGTGTTACCTCAACAAATTTCTCGTCATCATCACAATTAGTTCAAGCTCAGACTTATAGGAAAGCGTGGTGTTTATGCTTCTTTAACCAAACAAACCTTTCTTTACTGCAAGAGAATGGATGTGTTGGAATTATACTTAGCTAGTATATTTTTCTTTGCAGGCATAGATTTTGTTGATGGTTTTTGTTGTGTTTTCTTTTTGTTAAAGTATTTGTACTTAATGCTTCTGAATTTTTCTATTAATACATTTGACTTCTAAGAGTAATTCCTAGCCAACAAATGCAAGCAGTGGTATCAGTGTGGGGAAGGCAAAGGCAATCTTCCAGGAAAATAAATAAGAAATTACATAATTTGTTGCAAGTTAAGATGCTCTGTGTCATTCACCCTGTATTCTTTCTTGCCCTATTTTTTTTGTGTGCTGTAGTTCTAGTGGTAAGCTGTCTGTCGAACTAAACTCAGTACTCCTAGGTTGACTGAAACCTGTAGCTTTTAAGTTAGTGAGAAAGAGAGTGATCTCCTTGGAGTTTATTTGTAGTGGTCTTTATTTTTTTTTTTTTTTTTTGGTGAGGAAAGGTGTTTGAGTGACTTGATGAAAAAGTTTTATTCTTCAGGAGTGTCTCCTTAGAGCTGCTGGGCTGAGGATCCTGCCCTGTGCCATCTATCTGTTCACCTCTTGCAGCAGGACAAAATACTGGTACTTGCCACAAGTGATTCTAGGAAGCAGATGTTCTTCTGGAGTACAGAGACCATTTCATTCTTTTCCAATATTGTCATTGAGACTGATGTGCTTTGTAATGGAAGCAAAAAGAGATAAATGCTTGAACCAGATTGAAATGCTATAATCCAAGTTAAATTAAATGGAATGCTTTGTTTTAGTTTTAAATTTAGAATGTCGTTATACAGTTTGGCTAATTACATTTTGTTTTTTCTTGCTTTGAGATGAGGATTTTCTTGATAAATCCTGCTGCCTTCTTTCACTGAACCATTAGGGGGTTATAAAATCAATGAGTGATGAATCGCATGCAATTAGTCTGTCTTTGGATCTAAACTGGAAGTTAATCAAACTTTAAATATGTGTTTTGCATCTTGTTTGTGTTAATTCACTACTGCATTATGTATCTTTGCTAAAGACATTGATTTTATACAGGAGGATGCCCAAGAGGAATTTGGCTGGAAGCTGGTTCATGGAGATGTGTTTAGACCTCCAAGGAAGGGAATGTTGCTGTCTGTCTTTTTGGGCCAAGGAACACAAATTTTCATTATGACATTTATTACTTTATGTAAGTAACTTCATTAAGGTGATGTGTTGGCAGTGTGATAGTGTAAGAAAGGTAAAATATTATGAAACAAATTAGAGAAGCCTTCTTCTGGAAACAAAGTCCTTTGGTAAAATCAGATTTGAGTGCTGTTTCAGAACAGTTACCTAGGTAGCTTCTGTGGCACTGTTGTCACTGGTGGTGTTCAGAATGTGCTATCTGGGCTAGTTCACATTCTTCACGATTGCAGAAATGAAGCTTCTTTGTAACAAGTTTCTTTTGAAAAAACAAAACCAGTTTGTCATGGTGTAAATTATCCAACATGAGTAACATGAGTTCAAAGACATGTAATCAAAGCTTTAATGTTCTTGGAACACTTTCTGTCTAATACGTTTGACACAACAGCCTGCAGCCATGCAGAAGCAGGAGCAAGACTGCATGCCAATGAAATGGTACTGACACAACCTTGAGGGAATGAGAGCCTACCACAAATAGCTAGATAAACATGTGATCATGTAACCTGACACAAGTTGGTGTTTTATTATATATTGCCTATAAAGTATACAACCATTCATTTTCTTACTGTATGGTCGAATTGCGAAGTGTACAGATACTTATTACAAAAGAAGAGTTTTTCAAATTCTGCTCTCCAGGTTTCATTCAGATTTTTTGGTCTTTTACAGAGGAGCTTATTTTCTTTCCCGTTCATTATGTGATGCTACAAGATTAATAGAATTTTCTTGATGGGCTTGTCTTTCAGGATTGATCACAACTCTTTTGCCAGTTTCCTGTTTGAGCAGTGTAGTATGGGAAGAAACTGGGAGGGAGCAGGGAAATACTTTTTCTGCTTGAAAACAAAACTTCTGACTAGAGATATGGGCAAACTCCTTTTCGGAGAATATCTCTGAGCTGGCCTCTACAGTTAGTTCAGACACAGGCAGCCGGATTTTAATAAAGAGGCTTATTTTTAAGTGAAGTGTAGTCTGGCATGGTGGATGAGAGCCTTTAGTGGAATTTCAGGCAAGTGACTCCATAGTTCTAAGATCTTTTATCTTCACACTTATTTCTACCTTAAACAACACCAATCTCCAAAACCAGAAGGACCGTTAAAAAAAAAAAAAACAACCAACCAAACAAAACGCAACAGCTTTTACTCCCAGCAACAACAAAAAAAGAACCAAACCTTATCTCTGTCAAAGTTTTTTGCTTCTCCAGACATACTGTTTTCACATGTCCTTTATGCACATATTGAACTCCTCTTGTTACTTAGCATGTGTGACCATGGATTTTTACAGGAGGACTGTAGGGTTTTGGAACCAGATTTTTTTCAAGCTGAAACTTGGTTCAGGCTCATTGTTCATCTGTGTGGCATTTTGTTTTTCAGTCTTTTGGCTATGAAAAACTTTCTATTTAGAAGATGAAGTGGAAATAATGCTTTATTATGAATTTAACAGTGGCATTAGGGCTATGGTCATGTGATGGGGTATATGAGAGCTTATGCACATAGTCGTCTTATAAGTACCTGGTAGTCAAAGGGATAAACCTGTACAGTGCTGTGTTAATGGGAGAGTTTGACATGTGTCCACACATGGCTAATTTTTTTTTTTTCTCTTTAGTCCTAGCTTGCCTTGGTTTTCTTTCTCCTGCCAACCGTGGTGCTTTGATGACCTGTGCAGTTGTATTGTGGGTCTTACTGGGAACTCCAGCTGGTTATGTGTCTGCTAGAATGTACAAGAGTAAGTGCACGGATTTGTTCGATGTGACACAGCGTGTTAAATTCAGAATGGCTCAGCTTAACATAAACCTCACACTGGAGCTAACCTCTCAGACAACAAATCTGCTTCTTGCTGCAAAACAGTTGGAAAAAGTTCTGAACCTGAAATTGTTTTTACTCTTTCCCCTTAGCGTTCAGAGGCGAGAAGTGGAAGACAAATGTTTTGCTCACAGCTCTGCTTTGCCCTGGGTTAGTATTGTTTCCCCTCATTCTTTTCTTTATTGTTAAGTATAAATTAATCTGAGGTGGGAAGGAGTGGGTGGGGGGAAGTAAATTGTTCTCTTGCCCTTTAGGCAGAACCTCTATTACCTTAGCTTATAGTATCAGTGTTTTCTTGTAACCATGTTGTTAAAAAGGATGCGGGATTTCAACTTTTAAGTAAATAGCTATATCCTGTGTACTGAACAGGAGATGTTTACTATGCCTTTAGCTGAGAATGATGTGGAGATATTCTAGATTTTCTTAAATGGATTAACAGTCACGTATGTAAATGCAGGTGCTGTCCAGTTTTGGATACAGCTGTAGCACATGTCATACTATGGCAAATACTGCTGTGCTTGGGAAGGGTGATAGCTCTCTTACCTTTCATTTTCTTAAGACCTTATGTGGTGATGAGGTCAGGGGAGAAAGGGAACAGACACTAATTTCTCCTACAAGTCTTCTGTATTTCTTGGTTGCAACTTTGGCTACGTGACAAATGTCCTTGGCAAAAGTTGAGGAGAAGGTTATAAATAATTTCTTAAGGTACCTCTACCCTAAAACAGCCCAGAATGAATAAAACTTGACTTGGTTTTGAGTACATTAGAATTTCACCAAATGAAATATAATGCATTTGAGAACAACTGAGTAGAGTATTTCTATGAGGAAATCTTCTTTCTAAACAAAATGTGCTCCAGTCTCCCTGCTGTCATTTAGATATTATCTTGAGAGAGAAAGAAATATTTATCGGTGGAAGAAACACTGTGCTGATCATTTAAACTCCCAGTTAAATTAAGTTTCACAGAGGAAGTAAAATGATTTGGGATGGTAGAATAGGAACAGATGTCTTGATTATGCTATGCTAGTTCAGTGAATTTGCATAATATCATAAACAGCCTAGGGCCGTTATGGTCCCAGTAGACTGATGGGAATTCACATTTGCAGTATTTTTTTCTAACTTTGGAGGGGGTAAGTGGTGTCTGTGTTACAGGCTTGGGCAGATGATAAACATTAGCAAGAGTTCTAAAATGGATTTGATTTTATTTTTTGTTCAACGGATGCTTACACCAGGGGTTGCTTGGGTGTGCTTAACAAGTCTATTCCCCCAAACAGTTGTGGGAAGTGCAAGACCTCTCCTAGAATAAAGAAGCCTGCCTATTGCTCTAATCCTCCTTCGTTTTTTTAAAAATCAAATACAGTATGCATGTTCACTTCAGGGCAGTTTAAATTCTGTCTTGGAAACTTTTTTAATGAAACCCAGACAATAGTGGACTTTGAAGGGGCTGAATTTTTTGGGGTACATCTCTGAATCCATGAATAATGGAAATGCAAGTAGCCTTTTATATGGGATTCCCTTGCAGTACGTTTTGCTTTGCTTTCAGAGTTGGATGGTTTTGAAATCTTCATCATGTCTTGGAGTGTTTCCTAGTGTTTTCCCAGGATGTTTAGAAGATAAGGCAGACGCAGTTAATGGGGGAGGGAAGAACAAGACTGGAGAGGTTTCATGACTGATGCAGTATTTATTTAAATTTTCTAAAGGTGTCAGCTACTTAACTGTGTAACTGCATGAGGTGTTAATAGAAAGATTCTTCTTGTAGGGAAGAGAGCCCTCTTTATTCACCCTCCTGCGAGCACCTTGCTGGAACATGTGCTGTAGAAGGGGTGTGTTTGTTGTGGGACTGACCTGTGGCTCAATATGAGATTTTGCTTTTGCTTTGCTTAGAAAGGACCTAAATAAAGGAATTAAATGACTGGCAATAATAAGAAAAGTAATTCAGATATGACATGGGTTTAATTATTTTCTCTTCCAGCATTCTTTGTGTAGATCTTTTACACTGGAATTTTTATGTTACTTTTTGGGTTTATTTGCAGAGTATTTAAGAAGTGGCTTTACCATCAGTACTTACAGACATTGGGTGTTGCAAGCATTTTTTAAATTAACTGTTCTATTGCTGAAAGTGGGAGTGTTAGGGAATGAAGAATGCAAGAAGCTGCATTTTTCTGATGCAGACTTAAGTGGTTTATGTTTTTTTAATATTAACTGATATTTATTCTTTACTGAATATTTTAATATATTTTCTGATTTTTTTTTTTTCAGGATTGTCTTTGCTGATTTCTTCATTATGAATCTCATTCTGTGGGTGAAAGGATCCTCAGCTGCCATCCCTTTTGGCACTTTAGTTGCTATCCTAGCTATGTGGTTTGGAATTTCAGTCCCACTAACCTTTGTTGGTGCATATTTTGGCTTCAAAGAGAAGGTAGGGAGGGCTCTTGGAACACGGTTCTGAAATAGAACTGTCTTCTGCAGTTGAGCCATTGAATCTGTAAGCATGCAAGAACTGGTTTGGACTGAAACATCTACAGCTCTATGCTTGTGAAATGATGTTTCACTTTGTCATTATTTTGAAACTGAATATATGCTTGTCATGTCACACTAACTTTTTTTTCCTGTCTGTTCATTAGAATCAGATTTTAACAGAGCTCTTGAAGGTCTTAGGTGCCTTTTATATTTCAGTAATTCAGCACTTCAGCGACTTCATTATGAAGTAGTACTTCAGTTCATACTTCACCACTTTGAGATACTGCCAGACAACTAAGAAATTTTTTTTTTTTTTATTAAGGACTGAACAAATTGATTTCCTTTTGTTCTGACTTGTTTACTGACCAGTAGTTGGACTATCTAAAGCATGTGTGTTTTTCCTGATGATGGATGTCAGGCTTGTAGGTTTTTTGGTTTGGTAACTTGTGATGGCTTATGAATGAATCAATTCTTTAGATGCTAATATTAGCAAAAAACAATTTTATTTATGATGTTCCTGATGATGGATGTCAGGCTTGTAAGTTTTTTGGTTTGGTAACTTGTGATGGCTTATGAATGAAAATAGTAATGTTTATCAATTCTTTACATGCTAATATTAGCAAAAAACAATCTTACTTATGATGTTATTGATCTTATTTATTTTCTCTCAAAGCCTATTGAACATCCAGTTCGGACAAACCAGATTCCTCGCCAAATTCCAGAACAGTCCTTTTTCACAAAGCCTTTGCCTGGTATCATAATGGGTGGCATCCTGCCATTTGGCTGTATTTTTATTCAACTTTTTTTCATTCTCAATAGCATTTGGTGAGTATCACTTTTTTGCACTTTTTTGGTGTAGTTATGCTGCTTGATAATAAACACACAGCTGAGTTTGAACATTCAAAACCGATAAATATTAGGAATCAACCAGTTGTTGTAGACTATTGTGGGATTTCCAGAATCTGCATATTTATTCCCATGCTTAGAAATTATAAAACTAGTAGTTCTTACTGACAAATGCCAAGTATGAAAGGTGAGGCCTGTTTCCTTCTATCTTTCTGGCTCTGAACAGCACAAATGTGGTTTTGAGCTGTTGTGGTTAGGTGGAGCCTAATTTGTTGTGTAGCTATATTAGGATTTATGAAACTTAAGTTTGATCTAGCAGTTTCAGTTGTTAAATCAGAATCAGGTCAAGAATTTGGGATTCTGTGTTCTGCAAAACAAAGCTTCACCTGCTAGAAAACATCTGCACCACTTCTAAATCTTGTCAAGTGGGTGCATGGGCAGTGAAACTCTTCATAGCTTTCACAATGTAAATACAAAATGCTTAATGTATTCTTGTTCAGTGGAAAATACATACCTGAAGCTGCCAAGTTTTAAAGGTGTCCTCTGTTTGTTGGGGTTTCTTATGAAACAGTTTTGTCAGTTCTTAAATGCAAATATATGAGACAGGTTAACCTTTCACATTAGTCCTCAACAAAGCTACAAACTGTGTTTTTAAAAAAAAAAAAAAAAGAAACCAAAAATTTATTATTATATATTAGCATTTGGCCAAGTAACACTGAAAATTGACTTGGAACATCAATCAAAAATTAGATTCTTGGTTTTTTTCTTTTAGGTCTCATCAGATGTACTACATGTTTGGTTTCCTGTTCCTAGTTTTTATAATTCTTCTGATTACATGCTCTGAGGCTACAGTTTTGCTGTGCTACTTCCATCTTTGTGCAGAGGTAAGCAGTACGGGTTTCATACAGATACCACTTGTAGTTGGAAGATGCTACAAATAGAGTTGAGGCATTCACATGTACTGTGATAAGCTGGACACTTGAGTGGATGGTGTTGTCAGCCCTTGTCATGCCTTAGCTACTCTTTTGAAATGTGCCTTTTCCTCCAAAATCCACTGTTTGCAGCAGACAAGCAAAAATTAACAGCTTTGATTGTAGAATAATATCATGTTCATAATGGAAGCACTACAGCTGACTTTGAGAAAGCATGTAGTTACTTTTTTCTATGTTGGAAATATTTTTTAAGATAAATTTTGAAGAATTGTTTTCCATAGGACAATGTTCCTTTTTAACCAGCTTTGTGTTTCCCCTGTGATGTCTCCTGTTGAGTGGTTTATTGTTTCTTTCAGGATTATCATTGGTGGTGGCGATCGTTCTTGACCAGCAGCTTTACAGCAGTTTATCTCTTTATCTATGCAGTTCATTACTTCTTCTCTAAACTCCAGATAACAGGAACTGCTAGCACCATTTTATACTTTGGTTACACGATGATCATGGTCTTGATTTTTTTCCTTTTCACGGGTAAGTACATTGTTAAAACTGAAATGAGTGCTGCGATTTCCTTTTTTGAAATGATAAAGATTAGGTGAAATGTAGACTATCTGAAACATCAATTATTTAATTTATGACTCTTTAGGCAGTGTTACTTTTATGGTTTGTCACATCACAGAAAGATATTCTTTAAGGGTTTTTTTCTAACTTAACATTTATTTATAGTAGAATTAATTTTCCTTTGTTGCATATTATATTAGCAGTGAGTTCAAACCATTATATTTTCAAAGTGCTGTTCTTGTTCACTTTGATGTTAGGGGTGTTTAACTTGATTCTGGACTTCATAATTGTTTCTAGAAGCTCTATAGTTAGAGGTACTGTGCTCTGCATATGCAGCATAAAAGGTGTTTTCAGCTTCCACTATTAGCAAGTGAAGCAGGTTGGTGCTGGAAAAAAAGTGAATGTTGTCAGTAGTTTTAGTACCATTAGAGGTGATCTTACCTGCTCATTAGGTACCTCTTGTTAAAGGCAGGAAGGTACCTTAACTGGAGGAGCCTATTTGAAATATGGTTCTATTTTTTAATAGTCCAACTTTTCTGATGTTACTCATGCAGACTAAATGTCTTTTACAGAATTACTCTGATGTTCATAATCACTTGGCTCAAACTATAATTTCGAGGTTGATTTGATGTGAAATCTATGCCAGATTGACCATGTGTTAGTTGAAATGAGAAGCTCTTTGAAGGGTACTGGCCCTTAAAAATAGCCAGGAGCATTTTATACTGGTATTTACCATATTGCTACTGTTGTGTATGTAGTTTTTACACATGAAGTTGGACCTTTCATATATCACTGTGCTTAGAATCATGAAGTACTGCAGTGGTAGAATTAGAGAAAATGCTAGTTGATACATAATGGGTTGTTCATAAACCCAACCTTTACATTCATTCCTTAGATTTGTAGTAGAGGCTCTCTCTGTGGGTGGCTGGGCAGTTCGGGCTGTTACTTCTTAACATCTTCTGCCTGATTATTGAAACTTCTGTAATTACTTTGTGTTGGCTTTATGAAATGCATCATGTAATTCCCTTGATGCAGTTAAAAAAGAGTAGTTGAAGTGAGTAATGAAAGTAAGTCTTAGCATCAGACTTCAGGTTTGGCAGTTCAGTAGTGAGAAGGACCTCTTTCATCTTTATTGTTTCTAATACTGGTGGGTATGAGGCAAAAAAAGTACTGTTCACAGTAAAAATAGTGAAGAAAATTCCTCTATGTGTTTTAACAAAGCAATTACTCTGTAGAAATTATATATAATAACCTTAACTGGAAGTTACTGCTAGATTTTTGTTATTCTTTGTTACTTAGACCTATGTTTCTTTCAAAAGAGTAAAAAATGTTTTAAAGAATGGGGGGGGGGTAGGAAAAAAGAGGAGGATTTAATTCTTTGAATTTTTAATTATTAGAAGGAAGACATAGAAGTTGTCATTGCCAGTTAAACCCCTGCTTAAATCCCGGCAGAACAAAAACTCAATGTCCTCTATAAGATATCTATATATA